TTGGTGGAGTGCCCCTTTAATTTGCATTTTCTTAGCCACCAGAAAGAAAGCAGTCCTTCTAAAATATGTTAATATTTGTATTGTTGAGAATGTTCTCCTGCGTTCATCATTTGCTTCTTTTACACAGCCGTGCATTTTGTCTCTTAAGGAAGCAGTCTGAGTCGCTGTTTCCTACGCCGGTCTGAGTGTAGTGGAAGAATGCAGTCAGTTCCTAAGTACTGGTAGTGGAGTGTTTTCACTCGTGACTTTCTATTAGTGGACACTAATCTTAACAACGAAATGTTAACGGATACAAAATCACACCAGTGTTATTAAAGTATGAGTAAATAGTTACAAGGAAGTAGAAGCTAAAAGCAGTCAGATACATTTTGGTCCCTTATGTAACATTTACTCTGTTAACCTTCCAGCAAGAAAAAGCACTAACAATTAAAATAGTTGTTTGGACGTGCTAAAAATATTAGAGGATTAGTTATCAGTTGGTCATTCAGTTACTCACCAAAGACTCTTTTTTGCTGCTTTTAAATCATAATATATGAATATTTTGGACTGTATGTCAGACAAAACAAGGCATGTAGATGTATCACCTTCAGGTTTGGGAACTTGTGGTGGCCATTTTTTTAGCAGCTAGCATGCTTGGCTCTAGAGACATCAGTCACCAGACAACTATTGGATGGATTGCTATGAAATGTTGTACAGACATTCATGGTGCCCAGAGGATGAATTGTAGCAAAACATAACCTCTGGTGATCCTCTGATCCTCTTTTCCTCTAGCGCCACCATGAGGTTGTGATTTTGGATGAAATGTATAAACAGATATTTTATTTTTCTATAACTCTGGTTTATGAATCCATGCAAACCTTTTAGCACATGTTAGCATGCTAACAAGCCAATCTAAGATGATCATGGTAGACATTACTTGCTTAATATTAGCACTTTAACATTGTCATTGTTAGCATGCTGATGTTAGCATTTAGCTCAAAGCTCCACTGTACAGCCAGACAAAGCTGATGACATGGCTAATGGTAATAATCTAAATGAATTAATAGTGAAAATAATCCTCAGTTGCAGCCCTTTTTTAATGACAATGTAGGAGAGAACTTTTATTTAGCATTGTCTTTCCTTTTAAGATGGAGAAAGATTTCACTCATAAAGGTAGCTGCTATGTGTTTTTGGTCAGTGAAAGCTGACTAAACTACTTTTATTAGACTAAATTTGTAAAACTACTATAACTTGTGTAACATGGGAGTGTTGCAGGCTTTTTTAAAAAGTTTAATCTTTTGTGTCTTTGAGGTGAATCTCGAGGTGTATCCACTGATGTATGTGCCTGAAATAAAACAACTCTCACAGATTCTATCCTTTCTCTCTCCGTCCCATGTTGCTCCCCAGGAGAAATGGAAGAGGAGGTGGAGGAGCTGGTCGGGGAGAGCGTCGGGCAGGTCAGCCCAGACTGCAGACCCAGGTCTCCATGGACCGGGACCTGCGGGGGGAGTCCAGGGAACGCAGGGAAAGTCGCCGGCTGTCAAAGGGACGCTCTCTGGAGCATGATCCTGTGGGAGGAGGTGGCGGAGTAAGACGGACAGAAGAGGGGGGCTACCACCACATGGACCACAGCGGTGGCCCTCCTCGCCAAGCAGGGCCGGTCCCTCCTGGAGGAAGGGGCCACCCTGTGCCCGTGCAGGGTCGTGGCATGGGCATAGTAGGGGAGGTCGGGGATGGCGTGCGGCCTGGTCAGAGGACGGTGGGTGGGGTTGGCGGGCCGCATGAACACACCCTTACTCAGCAAGCCCCTCCCCCTGAACTCAGAGAGCCTTCTGGTTCAGGCCCTGGTTTGGCCCCCGGTCAGGGGCCCGTAGTGAGACGGACTAAACGGGAGAAGGCTGAGAGCATGCTGCGCAATGATTCACTAAGCTCCGACCAATCGGAATCCCTACGTCCGCCGCCGCCGAGGCCCTACAAGTCGAAGCGAGGGCTGGGGGCCGGGGGGAAGAGGCAGACCAGCGTCAGCAGTTCAGAGGAGGAGGGAGGGACCACGCCTGAGTACAGCAGCTGTGAGGATGCTGAAATCGAAAGTGTCAGCGAGAGAGGTGAGAGACGACATCAGTCATCACGTTGTGTTCCTGAAAAAACTGTGTGTGATTTCAGCCAGCGAGGCTATGAAAAGTATTGACATCTGTCTTTCCGTTCATTTGTTTATCCATCCATCACATCAGATATCTGAGGCAATCTGAATTTGAGAAAATTTGTGTTATGGCAGTTTCTTCCACTGCTTATGCCAACGAGGTACTTTTAACTCCAGCTCAACACATACATCTCAATAGGCACTCATGTCCCTCAGATCACGTTAAACTGACGTGGCACTGATGCACGTTTCTTGTCCTTGCTCTAAGAATTTGCTATATCATACTCCTTTCTTTTGAGGGGTCTGTAAAATGTTTGTAGTGTCCTTCTTTATGGTGTAATTCAGCCTGAGTTAATGTCAGCAGCCAGCGCTCAGGGTGCGCAGGCGGTGTACATAATACACTATCCAGGGTCCTTCTGGTGATACCTCTTGTACAGAAATTAATAAGCGAACAAAACAAAAACAAGCAGCCAGATTCAGTGGCTTTTCCTGAGTGCTCATGCATAATGCTATCCTGTTTCCCTCCCGCAGTACTTCCATTAGTGTCATTCTCATAGAAATGAGCTCTGTCCCAGTTTTATACTAATTGTATACAGTATGTTATATTTGTTCACTAAGTGTAATTGTATACTGCAGTTAAAAAGATCAATAAGTTACCATTAGTACTGACAGGAAATAATAAAATTGTTGCACCAACAGACATCAATCACACTGTGACTTTTGAATGTCAGTTCATCTTGTTAGTAGTTTGTTAGTGTAGATGTTTGTGACCACCTGCAGTTTATTTTATTTCTTTGAGCAGTGCATTGTGGGACAGAAGTGTACATAAACAGAATACTGCGCAGTGTTTTGTCTTCATTCTGACTTTTTAAGCATATTTAATAGTGTCTCTTTTCTAGTGTGAATACACAACAGACTTCCAAACCTGCTTATAATTACAATGTAGTATCAATGAGTTCCCACATGTCCTGAAAAAACCTAGAAAACCTGGAACGTAGATTGATTAAAATGACCAAATATCCTTGAAATAATAATTGTATTTTAGCCTGGACTGTGGCCAAATTAATGTTACTGTTAGAGGAAAACTGAAGTCCACAGACCTTTTTCACAGCAGCCATTTTTATATGAAATGGTCAGGTGAACACAGGTGTTACCAATGATACCAATTAAGGTTACATTCCTTCAGGTCAAACATGTTTAATTGTCAAGAAAAACTCCTGGAAAATGATTTCTTGTAAAGAGTTTAACACCGAGTATGAAACTGGGACGCAGCTATAGGTTAATATAATGGAAATTGCCGTTTGTATTGATTTTATATCAGAATCAGACACAAAGGAGGAAGTAAAAACCAACGACATGGAAGCATTCTGAATTTGTCGGTTATACATGTCTTTGATTGGCCAGAAGCGTGCTTCCTGTTGATTTATGTTTTATTTTATTACGATCCTCAAGGCACAAAGGCACCCAGCGCCTCCTACGACTACACTGCGCGAAGCCTGATGAGGTCATTAGGACGAGGGATGTAACAAAAGAACAAAACGCTAACATCTTTTACAGTTCTCGAGCCTTTACAAACCTCTTCAACCTGGACTATGTGCAGTAATAGTATTCATTTAAAGAGATTCCACACACTGTATGAGGCGTTTAAACAATCCCACTAACCCATGATACAGTCGCACACTGTATCATGGGAGGTGAATGTAAGACTGTATGAATCTGGAGACGCCTCCCGACCTTAACTCTCTGGGTTCAGTGATCACAACAGGTAAGACTGCTCTGATATAACCTACTGAGTCTGTTATTATCTCAAGTATCTATATCTGACATCTGGTTGTGTTTGCACAGACAATGCACCTCCTGCCACATTTTCCACTTTTGCGTACGGTGCATGCAGCGGGCCGTAGCAGTGGTCTGATATTGAGCGTGTGTGTAAGCCCTGTGTGTGTGAGCCCTGTGTGTGTGAGCCCATGTGTGTGTGAGCCCTGTGTGTGTGAGCCCATGTGTGTGTGAGCCCATGTTTGTGTGAGCCCATATGTGTGTGAGCTCTGTGTGTGTGAGCCCTGTGTGTGTGAGCCCATGTGTGTGTGAGCTCTGTGTGTGTGAGCCCATGTGTGTGTGAGCTCTGTGTGTGTGAGCCCTGTGTGTG